CCCTCATGAAAATCTTTATTTGAATTTTTAAGGATTAGAGATTTATTTCAATCCTGACTCATAAGGTTTTATCTTCCTTTCAGTTCTGCACTTTTTGTGGTATGAAATTACCACACTAATTCTGGATATTCTTGGATATTCTTGTTATCCATGTGCATGTCTAACCCCTGTTTGAATCCTGATAAATCGCTTAGCAGCAGCAGCATCAGTGCTCTATTTGTGCAGTACATGAAGTATCAAATTGCATTTTTTTAATAGATATTTTTAAATTTTCGTTTTTATACTTTTAAATTTGCCACCTTTCAGCTCCAGTGTTCTTATAATCTGACAGTGAATGTTTCTAGTTTACTTACCTTGTTACTATTTAAATATATTTTTTAGCGTTTGAAGCATTTCTCTCCTTTCTGGGGTAAATATTACAATTCTATCCAGTCTCTTCATACAACAGGTTTTCATTGCCCCAAATGCTTGCTTTCTCTGAACAGCCAAATTCCACAGAACCCATTTTTAAGATGGGCTCCCAACCTTTGCACTGTAATCCAGCTGATATATAGGGTCCATCTATGCAAATAAAATTTTCAAAGATTACCCTGTATCTCATTACTGTTGCAGTCTAACACTTCACCTTTTCTTTTCATGGACGCATGTTAAGCAGAAATCTGAAGTGAACTGTCTGCAGTAGTGCCTGGGCCTCTTTCCCAGGTTTATACAACTAACGAGACAGGTTTATTTGGATTTTTGTACCGTGTGTGTAGTTCAGTTTCCTCTGCATTCTGCAACTGTTTGTGTTTATTAACATCTGTCTTCTGCTGTCCTGGTCTAAATTCAGCTAGTACAGTTAGTTATCTTCTGCTGAACTTCTTTCTCCCAGTCCTGATTTGGCTAAAACAAATTACTGGGTGTCAGCTGAACATTTTGCTGTTTGGCTCTTCACCTCCAGAGTTTCAGATCATTAGTAAGTATGTAATTAAGAAAGTATTAGTGAGTATAATACTAGCTCTTTTGAACTAGTAAAGAAAATTGTGTATTGCATAAAAGTCACAAGTTAAACCATCTCTAACCAGGTAATCTCATCAGCTTGCTTAACCTGTGTTCAGAGTTCATAGCCGGGGTGTTTTAGGCAAGCAGGCTCTGGTTTTCCAACTCTGGTTGTTAATAGCTAACTGTTTTTTCAGTTAGTTTAATTTAGAATACTTGGTTCAAGATGAACTACAGCAATTACTTATTTTTTCTCAAAGTGGGTATGTGTGTCCTCTCCTGACAAGATGGAAGGTAGCCTGGAAACAGAGGAATGAGAAGAAAATGCGCTCCCGCTGCTCCCATATTCCTTCCTTCCCCTGGACACTTGTTCCCTACCAGGACACTTTCAGATCCCCGCCTCCATTCGAGAAGTCCTTGTGTGGTGGCTGCCAGGGAAATCAGTGCCAGGGAGCAGAGTGGACCACTGTGAACGGGGCAGGAGGAGCAAAAGGATGGGGTGGCTGGGTGGGCCTCAGCACCCGCAAGAACAGAAAGACACTGGGGTACTGGTCAGTAAAGCTTGTCTAGACTAGGGATATATGAGAGCTTAAAAAGGAGTTGTAAGGATTGGCATTCATTTCTATGTGTGGGGAGGTTATGGTTTCAAACCAAACATTTCATCTCTTACTTTGTAAACTGCAAGAACTAACAGGAATTGACAACCTTAATTTCAGCCATCATGGTCTTATCTGTACACACAACTTAATAAGTATTTATGTTCTAGGTGCCTGGTCTTGTATATCTTGGCAATCTTAATCATACCATACTGTTAAAGCAAACATGAAACAATGTAGTAAGCAGCGTATCTGGAATATGATGTCGTGATGCTCAAAAATCTGATTCCTTCTTTTTCTCACAAGTTATTGTAAAAGGTAGTAGTAGTGAAGATGTTAGAATACAAATACGATGATGTATAAGTGCAAGGTAAATTGGACCAAATTCAAGAGTACTTAGAACCTGCAAATAACATGAGACTAAGAGCTTGTTCAAAAACTAGAAGTCACGTTGGAAACTTGTTTAAACTGCATGTGTCAAGATGTAAATCTTGCAGGCAGCTTCCTGCATTGCTTGGTGCTTACTGTATGTTATGAGGAGGTTCCTTTGAGGTGTTTGCAAGTCATGTTAAGAATTTGATTTCTAAGATGTTGGTGTTGTAGAGGACCTCAAGCACCTCAAACAGTTAATGCTTTTGCTGATTACATATGCAAAAGATGATGCAAGTGTAGAAACCAAGCTTGTAAAACCGGAGGTCCTTTGCTGAATAGTGTATGAGAGGATTGGAAATTCTTCCTAGCAAAACATTGCATTTATCAGCAGGAATTTGGCAACATCTACCTTTGCAAACATTCCTAAATACCCGATTCAAGAGACTCCTCACTTGCATATTTCATCTATTTCTAATCCCATTTGTATAGCAATTGACTCTATACTGGAGTCACGATTTCTATCAGCAAGCATTATTAGTTTTGCAATGTACTTGAATTTGTAGCTGGGAAATTGTTTTTTAAAGTTCTTTTCAGATACTTGTCTGGGAGATGTTGCTGATGCAAAAGATCTGCTCCTGAAAATGGTTCCGATGAGGTAGTCTTTTGGCTGGAATCACCATGATACATGCATAGCAATTGGGAGAAAGTTGTTGATTTGCTTATCTTGGACAAACTGGCTGATACTTGCCAAAAAAGTGACAAAACTAGATACCTCCTTAAAAATGATAAAAATCAAAGGGAAACCTGGGTAGTCTGGTTTGTGGTTTGCACTTTTGAAAATGCAGGATACTCAAAAAAAAATTGGGCATATAACATGGAGGACTAAGACTGTTGAAATATAACTTGTATGTTAAAGTTGGGATAGAAAACCACTTAAACTGTTGTCGTTAATGAAGTCTTTAAGAACTGTTTAGTAATGTATATTACAAATAGTAATAGTGCATGGGTTTTCTTTTGTGCTTTCTGGAAGATGAAATACAACATGGAGAAGACTTGGTACTGTAGGAAAGAATGGGGTTATTATATTTGCGGGGACACAGGCTATTCCTGAAATTCGTATAAAAATTGTAACTACTTAAAATGCAGTGAGTTTACAATTAATTTCTTTCATGGCCAGTTTACCAGTATATACATATAGGTAGAGTATTACTTATCTGTGAGCATTTGTCAGACTAATATCTGGTTTATGTGAGACAAAAATCATGGCAACAGGGAGAGACATAACAAAATTCCAGGTGCTTAGAAGAATTTAATTTGCTTTTTCCAAAAATTTGTAGGTTTTCTTTCACTGTTTTTAAGGAAAATCAGGTTTAATTCTTTTTCTTCTTTTCGTTTCCTAAGAGTTTCTAAACTGATGTTGGAAGTAAATATTTGGTACTTAAACATTTCAGTGTTCACACACAAACACAAAAGCTCATTTGAACAGTCACTTTCAATACTATACAGATTTTGATTTATATACATTGACTTGCTTTGTTTTGATGTGAGATGCAGCTACTACTTTGAAATGCTGTTTTATCTTTGTTGATTAGCAATCGTTTACTGTAAGACAGAAATTTCATATAATACTCAGGGTTGAAGTGTGACTCTACTGCTTAGGCAACACATCTCCAAAGAGTATTCTCTTTCCTGTAATACTGAAGTATAGTTTGCAGTGAAATGGACGTTTCCCTGACTTTGTGTTTAAAATGAAATGTCTTGAATGTGGTCATGGTACCACCACCTGTATTGACACTTCTAAGTCTTTTCCTCGGGGTGGGGGGGACGGGACTAGGGGGGCAGTAAAGTTGAGCAAGGAGAGGGGCATTTCTCCTTCTTTCCACCTTTCTTCTGATCTGAGCACCCCTCTGCCTCCAGGCCCTTTCCCAAAGCAGAAATGCTCTACTGGTTGTTTTGCTCCAGCTCTGAAGAGAGGAGTGCTGCCTTAGGGTAGCCAGAGGCTTGAGTAGATTGGGCAGCACAGGGCGGTACACAGAATTAGCATTGTGGCTATGGAGGTAATATCCATTCTTAATATTTGGTATTTGGAGTTCTGTATAATACAGTGGTATTGCTATATCACCATTGGGAGTATTTCCTTGTATTTTGAAGTTATTTTTTAGATATTAAGTATTTTCATATCAGTATTTAAAGAAGAACTGAAAAGTAATTTTCACAGATCAGTGCAGAATTTAACATTCATTGCACTCTGCCTACATGCATAGTTTTGGAAGTTATGCAACCTCTTTTTATAGAGTTGTGTATTCTGGTGATCTAGGCTTGCTCAGTTATTGCTTAGAAATATAAGTGTATTAGGAGCTATATATGATATAAAACTTAGGTCATGACAAACTACTATGTTCCTCTAAATATAAAAATATTTATCTGCAGTAAGGTTCAAGTAGAAATGGCTTCCATCGTTACATATACTGACTTTAAAACTACGGAGTAGAAAAGCTAAGTTGCTGTGACGTAGGGCCATACACAGTCTGGTTGTGGAAGGAATTTGCATGGAGATGTTGCATATTTAGTTCAGACAGAAGAAGGTTGAAAACTTAAGCGCCCAACACAGAAGCAATTGCTATTGGTTATCTGCAAACTGCAGTTGCGGGGGAGAGGGAGGGCTGTAGCAGGGCATATTGTCACCTTGGCACTCAGGGAGTGCCCTTCCTGACAAGTGCCGGTCGTTATTCCAAATTGCGGAGGTACTAGGTCATCATAGTGCAATTGCTCAAGCAATTTTTTTTAAGATGAGCAAACCACATTTTTTCTGATCTCATTATTGGAGGAGGCTGGACCTGTTTTTCAGAAACATTACAGACAGAAAAATCAACCTGAGGCAGACACCTGGCATGAAAAAATTTTGCCTGAATGCTAATAGTTTGGCAACATTTTAATAAGCAAATGAAAACAGTATGTAGTAATGGGAATTCAGCTGCAGTCATTGCTACCAGATCCACCAAGAATAATGGACTTGCATACCAACCCAGACTTACGCCAAATATTGTGATTGTAGGTAACTAAATGACCATGGAATCTGGAGCAGAGAACCAGCAGAGTGGAGATGCAGCCGTTACAGAGGCAGAAACCCAACAGATGACAGTACAGGCACAACCACAGATTGCAACGTTAGCCCAGGTATAAAATTATACGGTGTAATAGTTTTACCTATTGGATAATTTTTTTAAGAGGGATAATGTCTGCTCATGGGCCTGAGAGAAGGTTCCATTGATACGATTCTGAAACAGGTGCAATGTATAGTTGCTTTAATATTTGTCTTCACATTTTTAAAGCAGTAGAGATTTTTAACTTCCCGTCGCACTAGGCTGTGTTAGTTCTGAAGAACTGTATGTGTGTAAACTGTGTAATGTTAACAGAATAATGAATTAAAATATTTCTAGCATTCTTTACCACAACCATGCCACTGAAAGGTATTTTTTTCAAAACATGTAATTTACTGTCTTTTTTATATTGACTGGATTGTTTTGCTGTTATGTTTTCTGTTAGAAACTTGTCTATAGCAGGCAGTTTAATTCTGAAGAAAACAAACTGAAAATGTAGATAAATAATGCAGCAAATACAACATCTTATCAGATGGGCTTAATATTGCAAACATTATAATCAAGTGGAACAACCTGGCATTTGACAGCTCGTGTTATCCTGTTGTCTCCAGAATTTCACAGAATTGTTGGCTGTTTAGAGAGACAGAAGTAGATCATTTATTATCCCCAAATTATTTTGGAGAGACAAGAAATGCGATCCCAGCTACATCTCTAATTTTGGAGCCCGGTTTCATTCTTGGATACACTAATGTTTGGCAGAAGCAACTCCATTGTGTAAATGAGTACAGAATCTGTTCGGTTCTCTTCTGTAACCATTTCATTTTAAAACTATTTGCAGTCTGCAAAGAACAAACAGGTTTTTTAGATCTTATAGTTTGGGGAATTGAGTGTCTTTTAGGTGGCACAAGTGTTAAATCACTTATCATTTTATAAATGATTAATGTCTTTTTAAAGTCATTACACCTTTTGGTAAACCAGAGATAGTACGCTTCCATTCAAGTGATAGTATAGGGATTGGAGCTGTTGAAATGCACAGGGTGATTTTGTTCAGTGAAGCTGTAGTGTGAATTTACAGGACACCAGCTGCCCTGCACCAGCTTGCCTCTTTGGGCAGTTTTCTCACTGTCTAACTTGGGCACAGGATGTAGGTGGTGTGAATAACACTTCAGTGTGAACTGAGTGGAAGTAGTTTATTTCTCTTGCAAAACCAGTAAACTGCTTCTCACTTGGTATGCATTAAGATTTAGTCCAGAGAAGCAAGAATGTTTTAAATTTGTGTGCTAACATACTAACCTCCAGGTAGCTGAACTTGCAGATATGTAGTGGGTTGAATGCACTTTACTTGGGCAAAATTACCCTGCTACTTGAATGAGAATTTTTTCCAAGTAAGAAAAAGCTATACAGCTATGGTTAACAAATCCATGTGAACCACAAAGAAATATGTTATATTTTTCCTAATTTTCTCTGTTGTCATTCACTGTATTATTTACACCGTAGCTTTTCCCCAGGCTTTATATTCCTTGTGGAGGTGATATAACAGTCTAAACATAATTCCTTGTCTTGTTCACATCAGTGTTACGTTATTACGATATTTTTAATATGCGAAGTGGCAGCGTTTGGCATTAGGGAGTGCCCTCAGAGGCTTAGGCAAATCTAAATAACTAATTATGTCAATTTAATTCTTTCATTATCTCTTGTAAGGTCACCCCTCTTGTAAACTTAGTTTAATTGCTGCATTTTTAGTGAGTTCAGGGTAGTTTTCAGAGTCAAAAGGAAACTCGTTCCAGTTCCACAAGGTATGAGTCAGAGACATCTGCGGAAGTTACACTCTGCTGTTGGCTTAATCCAACCGCAGAGTGGCCTCCAGTTGATGAGCTTTGCTGTCATTGCCAAAGACTGTTTAGTCAGACATGCATTATTAAAAAAGGTTGCTTTGTAAAGGAATATAATTTGCTAGAGGAAAGTGTGCTCATGTTAATCTCAGCCCCGGTTTCTCTCAGATGGGAGTTAAGTACTGCCATGTAATGCTGCAGCCATTTTCATAAAAAAGGAAGGTAGAGGCAAACACAAATTTGTGGATTAGGGAGAGACAGCTGTGGAGGAAAGAGGTCTACATGTAATTCCTCTTAATTTTGTTGTTAAGCAAGATTTCCTTGTAAGTGGCGGATGTTTATGGAAATTCAGAGATCAGCTACTGCAGCTTTTTTGAGAACCACGTGTTCATGGGGACAGCAGAGGATTTACTTCTGCATTTGGTACATAGCAGCTTTTTGAGATTAGGTAGGACAGCAGTGCAGCCCCTTCTCGCATTGTAGCTACATGGATCAAAAATTCCTGAAAATGCTGTTGAACACTGGAGGATTGTTAAATTTTCCAAACTTGGGTATCTAGGAGAAGGCTGGCTAGTCAGCGACCCATGACCTGGCTGAGGTCTGCCAGAGCAGCTCACGCTTGCCTGCAGTCCTTCCCTGAAGGCTACAATGGTGAGTCAGGCGCAAACCAAGGGCCGTGTGTGCTGGTACGGCAGCCCTGGCACCCTCCTGCCTTTCAGGAGCCCCCAGGCGTGAACACGTGCATTGTGTCACCAGACAGTTGCTGAGTACTGGATGTGCACGGGGGCATCTGCCCAGCCACGTAGCAACCTTGGTGCATGGCCCTTCAGCCACCCATAATAGTTCTTGTGACCTGCCAGAGTGAGACTTCCCCGCGTGACATGAACAGCTTCGCGTGGGTATCGCTGTCCTCGGAGCCTGAGCCCCTGCACAGGACATGTGTGGCTGTGCACGCAGTGCTAACGTACCGTGCTGAAGTCATTAGCGTATCCCTGTTGGCATAGCCACTATGCCTACAGGTCTGTGCTGGAGAAACAAAGTTGTGTTTAGGAACTGAGGGTTTAAAATGTGGGCCATTTTTCCTCATAGAAGTAACTCTAAGACTAGAGTTTGTGTTGACCCGTTACACTGAATCACAATAACTGCCTACAAACCATTTGTTTCCACTGCAAACCCATGGGTTTTCTGTCTGAACACACGGTCAGTTTGCTTTATTTAAATGGACTTTTCCAACTGCTCAATATGGTTTAGTCTCTAGAAAGTCTGAAAGGTGTGACTCCCTAAAAATTTTAACTTCTTACATCTGGCAAACGCTTTGCATTTTCTTGAGTGAGAACAAAAATAGCTCCACTCCCATGTTTCTGCCTTTGACTCAGCAGCGTCCGTAGGAGTACACCCAAGTCCTCGCAATATCTAACTTACTTAAGCAAAAGGTAATAATGTGTTTTTATTAGGTTACCTCAAAATAGAGACAGTTGTGTTTTTCTTGTTCTTGTCAGTGGTTTTACAAGCAATGTTTTGAGCCTGCAGAAATTCTGCATTAGATTAATTTGTAAAGTAGGTCAGATGTTGGGCTTAGGCAGTTCAGGGGGTTTTATGTTACGCTGAAACATTTGGGTCATCTAACTGGATTCTAGAAGAGACTTAATTCTTTCACCAAAAAGTGTTCTTGGTAGTGAAATAAGAAGATTTTGCAATAACCTAATTTATGCTCACTGTCTCTTCTTTGCAGGTATCTATGCCAGCAGCTCACGCAACGTCTTCTGCGCCCACGGTGACCTTAGTTCAGCTGCCCAATGGGCAGACGGTTCAAGTGCATGGAGTAATTCAGGCTGCCCAGCCGTCAGTTATTCAGTCTCCACAGGTCCAGACAGTTCAGGTACTGACTGAAGAAAATTCCTATTACGTGAATTGGGCCTTTTGAATAGTCCTGCCAGTTCACTGGTTTCTAATGTGTTTGTGTTCTGGATTGTGTTTTTGCTTATATAAACTTTAAGAGCATGTTGAAGGCAAAAACGGTACAGTATTTGCTACTCTGTGACTTTTTTTCTCTTCTGGTTTAACCACTTTTCACTTTCAAACATTGCTGAGTTTCATTTCCCTCTAGAATTTGGTTGGTGAGTTTAACGGCTTCATGGTTTTTCTTACAGTATTACTCTACTTTTTCTCTCTACGGTATTTTCATACATCTTTATTAAGTAAGAGTTCATACTATTCTGAAGTGAACAAAAGGGATTTTTTTAATAATGTAATCTTTAATCATTAATGAGGCTGATATTCTGGGACGAGAGTCTTTGCTACTTAGAAAATATTTGCATTGTTTTACAAAACAGATGTCTGTATGTTAATGGTCCTTAAAATAAACCTATCAGTCCGCTCATAAAAATGGTTTTAAAATTTGCCTGTTGAATGTTTGTTTGCTTTGTAGAGCCTTAGCATTTTCTCTTCTGTAAAGCAAGACAGATAATGCAGTATGATGAGATGGCTTGAAGACACAGGAGACAAGTAGTCTGAAATCTTTAAAACCTGTAACTTTTTTTTTTTTAACCACTTTAAGCCCAGTGTTACTGAACGCAGAAAGAGAAATCGCTTGGCATACAGCAGCTACACAGGGCAAGGACTGCACGTCATTCCTTTGCTATTAGTACACTGAGCTCAAAGAAAGTTTAATTTTAAAAAGTAGTCATTGTGACTATTTGATACAGATATTTAGCTGGTATTATTTTAAAAAACAATAAGGCATGCATAACTTAAAACAGACCATTCTGATAATAATCTTTGTTTACTCCTTGTCAGCTTTAGTGCTGAGTTTCTGGCAGGCTCTACCCTCCTCAGCCATTGGAGTCAAAAGTTTAGAGTTTTAATCTATCGGAGGTGAGCAGTTTTCAGATAAGTGCGCAAGTTACTAGCCCAGGGGTGGAAGATAAGAGACTGACAATGAAACCATGCTTGGAATTCACCTGGCTCAGTGCAAAGCCAGAACCCGTTTGGAATGCTGCAATATTCAAAGCCTGGTAGTTCACAGTCGGCCATGGACCTGTTCAGGCCCTCTGTCTGATAACTCTGAGATTTGAGCACCAGCAAGCTTTTTGAGCCTTTAGGAATCTTACCTACAGTGCATAAAATGTCAGGCTGTGAGCTATGTTTTTCACACAGGCATTTCTCTGTTCGCTATCGTTAGCTTTTCTGTATTTGTCACGTGACTATAGTCTTTTGGAAAACAGTCTCCGTTTTTATGTACTGGAGACGTTTTTACATTTTTGGTACACTTCAGATTTAAAATTATTGAAATATGCATGATGCAAATGTTTTAGCTTTCCTTCATAAATCTTTGTCTTTTTTAGCACAGATGTTCAGAATTGCAGTACTGCGTTATTTTTTAGCATCTTCATGTACAACATTTTCCTGACAATTTTCCCCTCCAAAAGGCAGTCTCTCTATAACATATCTACCCAATTATTTATAAATTGATGTTTCTCAACTTCAGTATTTTGCTCTTTGTTTCCAAACGTTTCTGCTGTCTTAATTTGGTTTTAGTTTTTCTCTCCCTAAATTTTACTAAAAAAACCTTTCTTTGTTTCCTTAAAATGGATGGAAACAAGGAATCACGGAAAGCAAAAAGTGTATGGAATTACCGTTTATATTTTCTTATTGGAATATTTAAATTATAAAGGACATTCTCACAGGTAGATAACTGGTTGTAGTCATTCTTCACTGGATCTGTTACTAAACAGCCTGCCCTTTCTGTTCATTGCCTAGGTAGAAGCACTGTAGAATACTTGCATTGTAGTGTTTTTCACAGGATGTCAACATTTCCTTAAAATAAAGACACTGGAAGTGTCTTGTTAAGTTTGATTGCTGTTCTTATTTACAGATCTCCACTATAGCAGAAAGTGAAGATTCACAGGAATCAGTAGACAGTGTCACAGACTCACAGAAACGAAGAGAAATTCTTTCCAGACGACCCTCCTACAGGTATGGGGGTTAAAAGCAGAAGCATTTTGCTTGATGGATGCGTTCTTCACATGGGGAGACAAGCAGTGTGGTTGTATAGTTATTTTTAGATTTACCATTTAACTGAAATCTCTCTTCTGCAATGTCTTTCCATGGAATAGGATGTAAAGAGAGAAGCAGATAGGAGGAGGAGGAAGAAACCTCAGCTGTTACACTCAGTTAAGACAGAAATGAGCTGAGAATAAGCTAATTGCCAAATTTGTGAAACATTGAGGTATCATTGTGCTAGGTGCCTTAGAGATAGCTTTAATGGATACTTAATACATGAAATACACTGAAGCTTTGCAAGAAAGTGGCTTCTGTATAATCTGTAGTCTGCAAAAAATCAACTCTATTGTTTTTTATTATTGTTGAAATGCTAGCAGCAATCAAACTTAATTCCTTTCTCCCATGAGACTTTCAATGAACATGTGGTGTTCAGTGGCTCAGAGAATTTCTGCTTGAGCAAAATTGGTTGTGTTTAAAGTTTAAGAAGTCAGAGTATCAGCTGAATGTAGTGATAGGCATCTAGTATCTTTAGTTGTCATGGCAAATACTTCTGCGGTAAGACCAACTGAGGTGCTCCTTCACGTGGTGTTAGTTATATGTTACTTTATTAATTAAACCCTTGCACAGCTTTTTCTGGCTATACTAAATCTCACTTTTCATTCTTAAAACATTCTTAAGACGCTGAGTAGCGTTAAGGAACAGCTCTGGAGTTCAGAAGGTTTTAAGTGACCTGTGGATTCCTGCTGCTTCAGAAAATTCAGATGCTCCTTTTTTCTTTACGAGGAAAATATATATAAGCTCGACTCTTGGCCTGAGCATATCTCACCCATTTTTATTTTTTTTTAGTACTTCCAGATATTTTCTACCTTCTCAAGCAGCCTTCAAGGCTGTTCTGCTGAAGATAGTGAAAATCATTGCTGAAGATCCCTAGCCATAATAGATCTGGGAATATATTTTTAATTGTGAGGAGCAGTGTTGCTAACTTCAAGGCTGCCACAGACTTCCTTGCAGTCTGCTTCTGCAGTGAGACACTTGCTTTTACTATATATGGAAGAATGGCTGTATATCATGAGACAACAGAGCTAAGTAAACAAGCAGCAAAACTGAGAAGAGGGGACTTGTGCATGCTAACTTCTCGTTGAGATGGACTCCTTTGCACGCACTGATGCCACACCACAGCCTCTGTCCTCAGACAAGATCCTGGTGACTCAGCAAAACTTTGTAATTGTAAAACTTGTATATGCAGCTCAGACTCTGGGCCAGCGTAGGGGGTCATGTCAGAAAGGCTGAGCCAGACTACAGCTGTGTTTAGCGAGTTCCCAGTTGGCATTATTCAAGCTGCTGTAACTGACTCCAGAGACAAGATAGGTGCAGATAGGTTCACAGAATTGAAGAGCTGTACCTCTTCCTCAGAAACTCCACCTTGATCCTGCTGCTGAAGTACATCATGTGTTCCCCATGTCAGTTCATAGCTCCTATATTTGTAAAGCTGCCACCTTACCTTCTATCTTAAATCCATCTTTATGATGGCAAAGGTAGGTTTTAACCACCAGATCATATCTGACATAAGCTTAAAAAGTGGTGAGCTGTAGCTTCTTCTTTTCTATTTTGAGCTTCTTGGGTTTTGTTCCTCATCCTCCCTGCTCTCTCCATATTTTTTCATCTGTTTTGTCCACTAGGTTTTTTGGTCTGACACCCGGATTGCAAACTCTCTGGATGGGAATTTTTTATTTGTCCAAGTGGTGCTTGGCACAGTGGCGTGCTTGTGCAATGCTGGGGTTCCTGCGTGCACACAGAATCAAAACAGCAACAGCAAAGCTCTGTTTGTCAAGTTGCTTAGCAGAGTGACTGCTCTCCCCAAATAGCTCCATACAGATGTTCTGGCTCCCAAAGCCTTAGGAGCCTTATTTAAGAAATGAGTGTTGTCTTTGAGCTTGGGGTCTACAGCTGTGTTTGCTTCATCACACTTTGAGTTCTAGTGACAGTCCACAGGAAAACATATGAGGAGAATTACAAAAAATGTTGCCCTTTACCAAAGTAGCATTTTGCAGTGACATAATAGAATATGTCAGCAGTGAAAAGGGCTTGACAGTCCTCTGAGGGACAGCGTTTGGTCTAAATTAAGCAAATTACAGAAACTGCTATGGTCAGTCTTACAGTCATGTTCAGTGGGACCTGTAGCAGTGATGTTTTAGCAGTTTTGGTTTTGGATAATTAACCCATGGAAGTAATTAAACAAACTGTTCTTTCCTTTACCCATGCTAATCTCACAGCTGTTTCAGGCAGGGCACCTGTAAACGTAACTGTGTGACTTCACTCAAATGCTTGGCATTGTCTCCCAGGCAGGTGTTAGATTATAAACTGATTGCTCTTCACAAGCATTTCTGCTAACTTCCTTTATACTAAGCTCTCTGGCTGAGGCCTTTATGGTCTGTGAAATGGAGCAGTTCCCCTGATGTAAGTGAGGAGATAAGTTTTTTACATACTTTTGCTTTCTTCAAATCTTTATGTGGCTAAAAGCAGGAAACAAGTACAAATGGATGAGAGAGAAACATGTTTTTAAGAAAAAGGGAAGGTTGTGATAGCTGTATCTTGGGTTGAGAAGAACCTGTTGAGAAGCACCTGTATCTTGTGTTGATAAGCACAGCTGTTCTGTGCTGGCTCCCTTGTCCATCTGTGCATGGCACTTTGAACAATCCTCTCCAATAAGAGTTTGAAGATAGTGCAGGTTTTTCATTCTGCACCTGTATTTTCCTTGCTGGCTTACTGCACTTTTCAGTTTTCTCCAGCATTATGTATCAAATAGACTTCTTTTTTTCCAATTTTTATTAAAATCTCTACAACACACTGTCTTTGCCAGAAAAATTTTGAATGACTTGTCCTCAGACGCCCCAGGAGTGCCAAGGATCGAAGAAGAAAAGTCTGAAGAGGAAACGGCAGCACCTGCCATCGCCACTGTTACGGTGCCAACTCCCATTTACCAAACCAGCAGTGGGCAGTACAGTATGTAGTCTGAATTTCTCAGTGGTGCTAGTAAGTGGGGATGAGAAGATGAAGAACTATTATTTCTATAACTGTTTGGACTAGGACAAAGCAGGAGGTGAAAATAAGATTACTTTAATTTGACTGTTTGATAACCATGCCTTTTAAACACATTCCTATTGTAAGTATTTGAAATGTTCAATTAACATTCTAGGACTGCTTGCCAATTAGGGCAGGGAATGCATCCTGAGGCAAAATATGAATTAATCATAATGCTATTATAAACTTTTTAACTTAAAGAACCAGATGAGGTAATTCAGAAGCTTCTTTTTTTCCTGGCAGATTATTAATCCTGGTTCACAAAATTGTAACCTCATTAACAGAAAAAACATTACAGTCTGCAATTACATTTTTAGAAAGTCCTGAAAAAATAAGAACTTCAGCAACCCTATTTAAAATATGTAATAAATATACATTTCTGTGTTTTCTTTATTCATTAGATTTTCTAGATACAGTGCTTTGACTTAAAGGATTGAGGATACAGCAGTAAAGCTAGAATTCACACGCTGTCTCACACAAACAAATAGTATTAAATATACAAAAGAGAGAAAGAACTACTTGTTTACATCTTTCTCTTAAAATCTCTTTAAAATTTTGTATCTCTGTTTATTCCTTAGCCATTTTGCCTAATACCCTACTTAATTTTATTGAAACTGATGTGGTTAACTCTGCTTTCCTACCATAACTGTAAAATAACTGCTTGTGCAGATACTTGAGATTTTGATGTGTCTGTATATAGGAACACAGTGAAATTCTGTGGAATCGCAAATGAGGGGTGATGTCTCAGTACACCTGCATGACGGGACTGAGGGAAAGAAAGGAAAAAAACAAACCAAAGTAAGACTGCTTGAAGGGGAAAAAAAAAGTATGAAACTGGACCTTTATGAATGAAAACACTGCTAGGAAGGTGCTGAGGAAGTTGTAGAGAAGGGGGGATACAATCAGAAGAAAAAAAATGCCAAAGCAAGAAGAAAGTGAAACACAAAATGGATAGCAATAGCAGCAGAGGAGACTGAAGGGCATAAAGCATGGAAGAGGAGAGGAATTTCAGATGAGAAGAAAAAAGAAAGGACTGAGGAAAAGACCTTAACCAACCAAGAAGAAAATCTTAACTAACAAATTAAAAAGTATTCCCCGAGGGAGGATTATAGCTCCTCTGTGTGATGCTGTTTTATCAGAGAAACTAATTTGTGTTTTGGGCTGTGTTTTTTGGCCACCCAAAAAATACAGGTGGTGTGGTTTAACCCCAGCTGGCAACTAATCACTCCCCCCGGTGGGAGGGGGGAGAGAATTGGAAGGGTAAAAGTGAGAAAACTTGTGGGTTGAGATAAACAATAGGTAAAGCAAAAGCCGCATGCACGCAAGCAAAGCAAACGAAGGAATAAGGAATCTCCTTCCCATCGGCAGGCAGGTGTTCAGCCATCTCCAGGAAAGCAGGGCTCCATCATGTGTAACGGTTCCTTGGGAAGACAAACACCATCACTCCGAACATCCCCCCCTTCTTTCTTTTTCCCCCAGCTTTATATGCTGAGCATGATGTCACATGGTATGGAATATCCCTTTGGTC